TCGTCATGGCATCGCTTCGACGCTCTCGTACCGACGTAGCTTCGAGCCCTTCCAAAAGGGACATTTCAACGACATGCCAACGTTCATTCTGCGTCACGGAAGAACACTCGAACGTCGAAACGCTCGACACTTCCGACGTTGCGCTAACACTGCCGCGTTAGCTAGGAGCGGAATGAGCACATCTCATCCAGTGTGAACCCTCGACCTCGACAGGGATGTCATAATGGACGAAAATGCCTCTTCGAGTCCTTCCCGAACCTTCAATAAATAAATGAGAAAAGAAAAGTGACAAACTTTTCGCAATAGCAATCGCAATCGCAATAGCAATTGCAATAGCTGCCATTATTTCAAAGGTCGCATTGACTGATTTTGCCTAGTTTGACCTAGTCGCCTCAAAAATCATCCATCGAATAGCCATTCGTCTAATAGTCAATCATCCATCTAATAATCATTAAAAAAATTGCCAATATCGATGAGAAAAACTTAGCTGCGAAGACGAGCTGTTGATTATCTACGGCTTCAAGGTGTTCTAGCATACAAATGCTCGACTCTTTAAAATTGCCTCTACGGTTGTTGCCGGTACAGTCGAGGTCTTAGTCAAGTAATCTCTTACGTTTAGCTGGAAACCAAAGTTCTTGACCGAGCCTAAAACTTTTTAAGAGTACGTAGATTGGGGGAGGGTGGGGGTGGGGGACTGCGAGGACACGAGAATAAGAAATACTTGCAAAGGAATACCGTCTCTGAGCTCCCCATGTTTCTCGAGAAATCGCCGCCTCTATCGCAAGCCATTGGAATTCCAGCCGGCACGTTTTCGCCTGCGTCAGGAATCCGCCAGTGCGATGACTTCCTCCGGCTCGTCGTTTGCTACGAGTACGAGGAAGCTCGCATCCGGACATCCTCCTCCATGGGACCGACTTCGGAACCCACTCGAGACCTCCTTCTGACACGCCGAGCGCAGTCGAAGGGGAAGATCATCTCGAGTTTAACGGAGAGGAAAGAAAGTTCCTTTCGTGGGGATCGGGGAGGTCACGAGAACTTCCTTTTTCTTTGCTATTACATGGCACACGGAGAGAGTCGATTCCTCAGAGGTAAACGGGATATATCGAGGCAGAGGGGCGTCCCTCCGATATTTCTCCTTTCCGTGTCGATCGTAAGAACTTGGACGTCGAGGACGATGCCATTTATTTGAGACGACAGATCCTCCATCGGTTGGACTGCCCTACTCTTGGCTACCGAAAGAAACCCCAGCCCCCCTCTCCTCCTGCCGATGAATCCTGGATCTGTGAGGAATCAAAACGAGACATTCCTTCTAGTTCGTCCTGCAGCAGACTCTCATCTCCTCCACTTTCCTCGTTGCCAAAATCCACCCGGAATGCTGCTTTGCATCGGTGGAAGCAAGGAGCCCGACTGCCTGCATCTGGATCGAGGACGACGGCGGACCGATCATGGATTACGGAGCGTGAGGTCTGTTGCCGAGACCACGAAGACGACGTGGCAGTCGTCGGGAACCTTCCTCACGACGGGGCGTCACACGTCATCTTGCTGCTCTTTCTCTTCCGATACCACTTTTAGAGATCGTGCGAGTCGTCACGCACCGCTCCCGTAGTCGCGTTCGGGACGGATGAGATTCGCGAAAAGGGATCGAACGGTCACGGTTCCACGGGAGGACGCGACGATCGGAGTCGAGATCTTTTCGGAAAACGACACCGAAGAATGTGCGAACGATCGCCCCGTGCCGAAGTGCAAGACGCTCCGAGGAGAAGGATCATGGGCCCACCGACATCATACTAAAGGGGCACCACCCGTCGAGAGGATCGGCGTTGGTGTCGTGTATGTCGGAAAAGTCCCCTGTTTTCTTCGATGACAGCCTCCATACGTGGAAGCAGACGACCGACAGCCGACTGCAATATCGGGGAGGGATAAGAGCAGCGATCCCTGGGCAAATTCGGTCCTTCGGCTCGGTCAATTTCTGGGTTAAACTTTTCCAAGCGACCGATGCGAACGCCCCTGCAGAACGCTTTCAGTTGTGAAAGCGTTCTCAGCATTATCATTATCGACATAAAGCATTATCGACAGATGTTCGGCACTCCCTACAGGCGGACCCTTAATCATACGACTCCTCGTAGGTGCCGAGATGAACCTCTCCGAGCAGCTAAACGGACTCATTGGCGACCCTGTACGCAATCGTCCAGGCGGTGGAATGGGGTCCTGCTCTTTCCATTCTCTCCACGTATCCGACAAGCAGGTGGCGGGTATCCACACAATTGGAAACGCAAGCCGAAGATCCGATAGGAACAACAGACCCCTTCTTTCACGCTTTTTACCATCCTCTCGTCTCGGCCACTAATGAAGCCCCCTTATACTTTCTTTAACTCGTTCGCTCACCTCGAGTCCATTCGGGCAAAGGGCCTTTGTTAAAAACGCATATTTCGCTTATAAATTCATTCACGGAGTACTTTTCCTGATTCAGGGAATCCACCCAGATACCGTTAAGCCTATTGAATCCATAGCACCCGATTAGTTGTCAAACTGCAGCTGAAACTGTTATGAAAAAAAATCCTGAAATTGAGGTTGATCTGCAAATTAGGCGAACGATTTTACGTTATGCAAAAATAAGTTGTAAAAACGGGCAGAAAATAAATCGGTACTGAAAGGGTTAAGGCATGTGGATCAACACATGTGGATCAAACCGTGGATCGTTCCCATTCGGCACGACAACGTTGTGTCAACGATGAAAAAAGGTTGATGGCAATGTTACCTCAATGTTGAGAAAAGAAACACAGCTCAACGTAGAAAAGTTGATGCTGTGCGACGTTGTGTCAACGTTGCATTGTCAACGTACGGGCATTATAGTACCTCCTCCCTATTCCAGAGTCTGAATGAGCTTTGATTATCGAATGAAATTGAATATGGACTCGATAACTCCATGGATGTTCCCCAAGTGGCATGATAATAACAGTACTCTACCGAGTCCAATCATCCCACGTAAAGGACCCTCAGAGTTTTATTTCCTCTACTGAATCAGAATTCACATTGAGTACTTACATGACTCAATCCTCTCGGTTCAGCAGAGGAAAACAACCTCGCTGGCATGGTTTTCAGTGAGAAAACTATTTTTTTTTTAATTTGCTCCTAATAGCCTCTGAACGACTTCCCTAATTCACGAGTAGTGAATGAATGCAGCAATAATGCTGAAAATACGGTTAGTAATAGCTAGCATTTCATCGATGTTTATTTTTCGTCGAATTCTCAACTTCAACCAAGTCTCAATGTTGACACAACGTTGTTGTGCCGAATGGGTTGGGAACTTAATGGTGGTGCAGCTAGACTTCCATTCCTTTCGAAAAGGTTTCATGTCGTATCCGACCCGAATCGACAGAAAATCCCAGAAGGGAACTCTCGTCGATATGTTACGATGCTACATGGTTTCTCCCGACGTCAGCCAAGCAAGGCACAAGGTTCCAAGACATTCTGTGCACAGACCGACCTCTGTCCGAGCCGAAAAAAAAAACAAACTCGGCAAAATTAACCTTTTCAGCGGTGAGTTTTTTCGTACTCATGCACACTGCTCGATTGAGTTTTCCTCGAGATCATATCAATACTTGTGGGCAGTCACTGAAAAACGATGCATTTTAAGTCACGATGACCTCATGAGGAACAATCAAACCCATCACACGATTTTGAACACATTCTATTGATATATCTGATCGACGCTTCCGTATTTAATAAAATCAGGAAAATAATCATTTTAGCACCTGATTTTGAAATGAACATGAATGAAAATGATTTTTATATATAAAAAACCATAATTTAAAAATAAAGTCAATCATACATACGTTCAGAGGCTATTACCACCAATACCAACAAGAAATAATATATCCATTAAAAATTACATGCAATCACAGGAAAAACTAAGGAAATTAGCTAAAAAGTACTAAAGTAAAGCAAAGTTTGAAAACAAAGAGCAATTCAACAATATATTGGCCATCATCGTGTGAGCACCATCATGCGAGGCTGATATTGGCGCTGCCTTAGGCAGTTGCATACCATTAACACCAGCTCTGTTCGACGATCATGTTATACCTGGTGAGCCAAAAAAAAAACTCCGGTTACCTTTATCACTCTACAGCTCTGGTCTCCAAGAGTTCGCTAAAATTGCAATAGCGCCTACATATAGAACATTGATTAAGCATTCCAGTGATGGCAACACGATAAAGATTCGTGGCATATCTTCCATGCAGTTAGATAAAGAGTATAAGAGGTGACGCTGGAAATGTAAACAACGCCTTGGCAAGATTGCGAATGGGCAAGCGAAGGAATGGACGTCACCTGGAGCACATCTTACAGGGTACTGATAAGTGCACTTTTCAAGCGCTACCTGTTTCTCAGTGCATAACTGCATCAGAATGACGGAATAAATCTTACATCTTCTGACAGCAGTGGAAAGCTAGATAAATGTTCAATATAGAGACGCTATTGCAATATTTTCAAACTCTCGAGAAACTACATTGTGAAGCGTTAAAGATTACCGAATATTTTTTTGGTCCACCCTGTATATTCCGATGAGGTCAAGGAAAACAAATATTGTGCCTCGACCCCGCTTCCATTCCTGATACAAGTGGAGTCAGAAATTTCTGACAATAAGACAATGACATCATTTGAAGGATCCCTCTTTATGAAACTCAATTCCTGTGTCAATGAAAAATTGGATACTTGAGGGAGATGCACCAATGATCATGACCAAATAGTTCCCTCAATGCGATTGGTCTTAACTTGTTCATGCAAGCTGGTCTTGCAGGTAATGAATATTTGACTCTTCACATTATTGTGAAGACCATATACTTGACTTCATGGCATATTTCATTATCTAGTCTCAGTTGCTTCTTGGGTCCTGTCAAATAGATCATGTTTGAAATGGTGTTAGCTTGACACTGCTTGAGATATCCTGTTGCAGCAGTAAATGGCAAAGAAAGCACTTAGCACAAATTAAACTTTATTTATTGGCATTCTGAAAGCAAATGGAGGTAGATTGAAGGGATTTTCATAAACTCTTGCCAAAGGCACACAAATGCAATCATTAATCCAAGCTCAATACACATGGCTTGGGAATCAGAAAACATAATAAGAAAAGCACCTTGGAGGCTGACAAACTTAGCACTAAAGATCTTCATGCATGGAGTTCTGGATTAAAAAAGAAAGTCTGCAAGTAACAGTCATCCTGACTTGATGTAGAGGAATGAGGTCATTCGGATAAATCTAGAGTGGCATTGTAATTCACCAAGCATTGGGCCTGAACTCTCGACACAATACATGAATAAGCTTCAATCCAACAGTTTGCCTGTCTCTCCTCTTTCAGTTTTCTCACCTCCCTGGAAGAGAAAAAAAGAAAGTCAGAAGAAAGAGAAGACCCCTTTATACCAAGACCCTTAAACAAATTTGCATAGATTTGACTTTGAACTTTCTTAAATATAATGTATGCATTCAAAACAACATTTCCATATTAAATTCCAATTAGTTGATCTGATATCATAGTACAATGAGCACACTCAAGGCATCATGAAAGGGACAGAAACCTGTGAAGCCTTTTGAGGAGGAGGAGTGTTTTCTCTAACTCTCCCTCCTGGATTAGATCACAGAGAAATGAAGAGAGGACTTGGACATCTTCCTCCTGTGGGATGGGACCACTCGCCACCCACTGATGCAACAGCTCCCTCAGTGCATCTGTTTCAGTTTCCCCACACAAGTTGGCTGCTTTCTTCTTCTCCTGTTCCCCTATCTTGATATTCTCTGTTGGCTTTGGTATGGGCCCCTTCCCATCCTGATTCACAGCATAAACTTCACCCTCAACAGTAGTGCCAAGACACACACATTTTTTAAATATATAAATCAGTAGGATAGGTATCCTAATGGTAGCTATTAGGGAATTATGAAACATAAGTCACACAAATGGGAAAAAATGTGTATCCACCATGCCAAGCTTGGAGAAATCCAGTTAGACATACTAAATACAATTACCCCCATCAGCTGGGAATTTCTTAGACAAAAGTTGACCACTACAGGGTGGCCAGAAAGTTTCTGACCCTTTCATAAAAAAAATGATAAACATTTATGCTTCTTGTACCTGAAGTGTGTTCATCACAGAATACTGGCTACTTCTTTGTGATGTTGCACAACCCTACTGCATCACCTGGCATTACATGTGTCTGTTTGATAATTCAAATGTGTCGATTTTGCATATTTTCACATAGGCCCAAAATCTGGAAATGGAATTTTAGCTGCTTAGATCTGACCTGGTCAGGATTTTTTCAAAACCAACAGAAATTAAAATGAGGTCATATGAATTCATTAATTAAGAATTACTCTTTCATTTGTGTTAAGTTTTAAAGCATTAAAAATAATTATTCCTACTTAAAACTGATCAAAAGTTCATGACAGGGGTCTGACAGTGGTTTGATGGTTTGAAACTTTCCAGCCATTCAATATTTTTTGCGTTATTCATTTTTCTTCAAGTAATAATATGCTCTATAATAAATACAGGGTTATGTTTCTTTGATGTTCTTATGCTTAGTGATTTGCCATGGCCCCAAAAATTCATTAGCATTTGTGATAGAAAATTCAAGCACACAGCAAAATTGACTCAACAGGTGATTAAACAACAATTCCCTTCAGTGTGGACAGATTGGCAGGGCTATTCCTCAGACCTCATCTGATTGAGAATCTTTGGGTTATGCTGCAGGAAAGCGTTTTCAAGGAGCCAAGACCAAGAAATAGAGCTCAGCTTGTGGAGAGAGTTCAACAGAAGTGGGAATCGTTCCCAGAATGTCATCTCCAATCTCATTGAGAGTTTCCCAGAAGGATCAGTGTTTAATCAGTGTTTAGACAATGGTGGGCACCATATTCATTATTAGTAGAAATAAGAACTTCTGATTTATGATTCTGTGTTTCAGATTCCTTCAATAGCATGTACACTGCATTGTAAAACACTACTTTCTAGAATATAAATAAGTTTTCATATTATTAAGCACAGGTTTCTTGTTAAACAGCAGGGGTCAGAAACTTTCTGGTCACCCTGTAGATTGAGGAATTTTTTCCTCAGAGTAATTTAATTATCACTTTTGCACACAAATGAACTACTCTTTTTTCAAGATTATACTCTTATTTTGAGTTTATACTTAATTCAAACTAAAAACAATAGTACAACATATACAGGGTTGGCAAAAAAAGCAAACCACTCAAAGTTTGGCTATAAAATCAACATTTTTTGAACTATTGAATTTAAAATTTGACAGATTGTAGCCTGATATGTCCACCAGTAGCTCTTTAAATTTCATGCATCCATGACTGCCCTTACTTCAGTTATTGCAAGTTTTGCCAAAATGGTCAAAATTCTAAGTGAACAGGCATATGATTTGTGAGGTACAAGTCCACACTTGATTTTTGCTGAAAAAAATCTGTACCTATAGATCAGTGGTCAGGAACCTATGGCTCATGAGCCAAATTTGGCTCATGGGCCAAAAAGTTTGGCTCATTGAATTGTGGCTGAAAATCTTGGTTGCTCCTCATTTTTCTTATGTATCAAAGAATTCATGTCTGCTGTCAACTTCAGGAAATATTTTGTTCTGAAAATCTTTCACTCATAAGCACTTAGCTCAATCTTAATATGGCTCACATGGCCAAAAAGGTTCCCGACTCCAGCTATAGATGGATCATTGTGAAAACTTAACAGGGCATTGTCAAATGTGCGTTTTTCCCCATCTGAAAGTTTCATGCATGTTTATGAAATTTCAGTCACTCCTATGTTAATGTTACACCTAATGTCATGAAATTTTTCTGGTGAGGGCAACTGTGTGTAACTGTCTGTACATGATATGATACATATACCTAGGTACAATAGCACCAAATATTATAGTTATAATGAGGAAAATGAAGGTGGGAGTTTCCTGGCAAAAGTAAAAACATTAATTTGATCTTGCAAATAAGGATGAGATTGGACAATGTTCTGCAAGCATTGATAGCAATAAGGAACTTTTTTTTTCTGCAAAGGAATTTGCTATGAGGGATTTTTTAAATAATGCACATTAGAGCATCTTGCTGGAGATACCAGATCACATAACTCTGTTAAGGATTTCATCATATTCAACTTCCATGTCATGAAATTCACAACAATCCTAATTTTAAGTATGGGAACAACATCAAAGGGTGATTGATATGCAAAGAATAATTAATGGAATTGAGTAGTGAATTTAATGGAGTCCAGGTTATTATCAATGGATAAATGTACTATATAGAGCATGGCAAAAAAGTCACTACTTTTAACTAACATATCTCTACTCTCATGAGAGCATAATTTTAACCAAACTTGTGTTGTACATAGTGACATGATTCAACAACTTTCCATATTCTTCTACATTCATTATTCTATATTCACAAACTTTCTTTCCCAAGGTTACCTGTCAGTTGACATAATGGAGAGTTAACTTGTGTTCCAGGAGCAGGGTGCAGTTATAGGTCTGGAGCCTCTTATGCCCAGTACTTTATCATACCTTATTAAATATTTCATCCTAATTGGTTCAGTAGAAGCAAGGCTATGAGCAATGATTCAAAAGAAATTAGTAATCAAAAATGGACAGAGGATTAGAGTCCATTCAGAGTGACTAGACTCTGCCAGTCTCATTCTGGGGCAAAGTGGGAAATTCTAAAAAAAAAAAAACTTTGAAAAAACTTCCTATTAATATTTATTGATTAACCAGCCATTAGCTGGGCAACAGATCAGAAAAAAGAAACTACGTGAAAAAGCCTGCTGGATGAATGAATATCAATGGAAGAGAAGTTCAATGTGGACTGGATGATATGCGATCACAGCATAAGGGTATTCCCTCTTCTTCATTCCTGGCATTAGTTCTAACCCATTTTTAATCACCAACTTTCTTAAATAATAGCTAATAGCCTTGCCTTAGCATAACAAATTTGAGAAAACCTTGAAGATACATAAGAACATATCCATCCATACAAACTGAGAGTTAAAAAAAAAAGTTGGCTCCAGCAAGGGCAGACATATATAGCTATATATGCAGCTAACTTTGTTGTGAACAATACTCAATAAAGAACTGGTTAAAGTAATATGAGAGCTCATGAGGACTGCAATCACTTCAGACCATTTTGTCCCAGGGGAACAAATGACATTTCTTGTGCTCATTGTTCTTCCAAAAGGAGAGATCTGCTTAGGAGAGAGAGGCATGGAACACTTGCTTGTCTTGTGGTTGAAGATACGGAAGGAAGTATCAATGGTCTAATTTTCACTGGACTGGTGCTTTTGGGCTTCTTCCTTCCAGGACTTTGTTTCTTTCTTCCTTTCCCTACAACAAACAATGATAAATTTGCTCACATGTGTATGTAGACATGCACATTAAGCATGGATAAATCCATCACTAGGGAATGTTCAAAAAAGTGAAATCTACAGTGTCATAATTAGGCTTTCACACAGAGTGGTGCAGCAATGTTCTTTCAGTGCTAGGCCACTATCACAAGCCAAAAGTGGCACATAACAGAACTGTAAGGGTAGGAACTCTCCTGTAGCCCCTAGCAGTTTAACTGATGCCCTTATCTTGTCTTAAGGATATGTGAAACAGAACTAGTTTCAGAATTGCATGATGTCTGAAGAAATTCATCCCAACCACATGTCAACAGCCAGGAGGACCCCAATATCTGCAATATTACACCTCTGTACTTATCTCAACATGGGATCTTGCTGGAAAGGAAGCATCAAGAGAGTTCTTGCACTAACTAACTTATAAAAAAAGAAAAGACCAGAGGCATGAGATAGAAATGTAATGATACTCCACAGTACAAAATATGCACCCATACTCCACGTTACATGGCAAAATCATGCTACTTCTGGTATGGGATGTTTTTTTTAGAGAATTGTAGAATAAGAAAATTTCAGCTGGGCAGCCCTATATCAGGCAAACGGAGATGTGAATTTAAGTATTCATTTTCAAAGTATAGATAGGAGTATGAACAAACCCAGTATGACTTTAGCCTTGGATGGTGAACGCAATCTTAGCAGGGGGTTTGAAGACATGACATCATGGCTGCACACACCTTGGTCTTTTACCATCTGGTCCGGCTATTGATCAAGGAACAGCAATTGTAGTGAACTTGGTCATTACAGCAGTATGTTAAATGACATTCAAAGAATAGCTGAACTTCACCTGTTGCACTTTTGTTTTCTTTGGAAGATGGTACTCTTTGTGGATCTCATCTTGGATGTCAGGGGGGAGCTGAGCCAAGACATCAAAGTCAATTTTCCCCACTTCTGTAAGTGGCTGAAACTTCTTAGGCTTGGCATTGGCTGTCATAAGATCCCTGATGGACTGCTGCTTGGCAACAGATGATGATGAGGAAGACATATCATCAGCTTCCAGCCTGGTTGCCTGGATCCCTATCCCTCTCAAATCACTTGGGATGGCACTCAGCTGGCAGTGTAGTTTCCACACCTCCCTAGGATGGGACCAGTACATATTTCTTGTTATCAGACATATATTCCAGAGAGACTTTGAATGGTAAAGACAAGAAAAGGACCTAGCAATGATGGAGGGTTCTCGGGCAGCAATTCCAAGGGTAACAGAACGAGCAATGTTGTCACATACTCCATGTCCCATGTATTTCACAGGCTCCACAGGAGCATCCAATGCTCGAACCTAAGGATGGGCAAGTTATACTAAGAAAGGATTCAACAGGCTAAAAGCAAGAACTTTCACTTCATTTATTAATATAAGAGCTATATAAGAATAACAAATTGTGCTTGACCTTGAGTTTCAAGGTGAATGTACGAGCCTTGACAGAAAGGCTGCTGAGGCGTGAAGCTAATTCAGCAGACAACTGGTTCAGGAATTCCTGAACTTCATCAGGTTTGGTAAAACGAATCCCATAGTTGACCTCAGCTGACACGGATTTGCGCTGGTGAGTCGAGGTTACCGCTCGGTTGTCGACTCCTCTGCAGAGATGATACAGTGTTGTCCCTGATTTTGCTCCAAATTCTTCTTGTAGTCTGCCCTCATTTAACTTCTGTAACTCCAGACATGTCTTGATGCCCAGTATGTCCAGGCGCTTGGACAACTTCCATCCAACACCTGAACCAGTATTTCAGGGCTGCATATCAAAAGCTTTCTTTCTATATTAAGGGTCAGGAACCTTATCGGCCATGTGAGCCATATTAAGATTGAGCTAGGTGCTTTTTAGTGGATGATTTTCAGAACAGAATTTTTCCTGAAGTTGGCAACAGACGTGCATTCTTTGATACATGAGAAAAATTAGGAACAACCATGATTTTCAGCCATGAGTCATAGGTTCCTGACCCCTGTTCTATATGGAAGATAATGAAAGTAAAAAAAAAGGACCTGGGAGGTCATTGGCTTTCTGGTTGGCAATGAAAGCACCAACTTGTGAGGATGGAACATGATATTGGCCATCAGGCTTTGCAACCTTAGTTGCAAGGCGTGCCACCAGCATGTTTGGACCCAGCCCTGCACTGCATGGACATCCACTCTTTTCCTGTGCAAAATTAGAAAAATCTCTCTATCTCCTGGTTCTGGAACAACAAAACTAACTCTCAGCCAACTTTGGACATAATTTGAGGTGGCATACTTTGATTTCTTGTCTGAGAAAAGATGCAAACTGCAATGGGGTTGCCTTGATGTCCTTCAAGATTTTTTTGCAATCCACGTACATTTCATCACAACTGACTGCTTCCAAGTCATGAGTGAATCTAATCCCACAAAAAATTCCTTTTAAAAATAAAGTTGAGAACTCTCAACATGATGCAAGAATAAAAAAACTCACTCAGCGAGAGTATCATAGAGAAGGTAAGAAACTTGCTTGTAGGATTCAAAGTCATAAGTGATAGTCTTAAGCTGAGGGCATAACTTGAGGGCTTCACCAAGGAACATGCCGTTACATACGCCAGCTGCTCGAGCTTCATAACTGCATGAAGAGACAAAAGCTGTGGAGCATGTGTCATCAAAAAGTTGATTTGCCTTCTCGCCTGGGTTTTCATCCATCAACATAGATGATCCCACCTTCTTCCCCTTCTCCCAGGTCTTCTTCTGATAATACTCTAGCTCATACTGAATATCTTGGCCTCGAGGTTGTATAGGACCACGAGACTTTGAGTGCGTCACAGCAACAGGCTTCCCTCGAAGATCAGGATTGTTTCGTAATCCAACAGACACAAAGAAGCAGTCCATGTCTATATGCATGATGACTCTGGATTCTATGTCCTCTTCTTTGACTCTCTCTGGCTGCATTTGAAGCCACAACCTGAAACGGTCCAGCCCAGGGAAAGAGGGGTTCTTGCGTCGACTCTTCTCATCAACATACTGCTTAAAGATTGCTCCCATGGTTGCAATGTGATGCAAGCGGGAATGAGAATAGAATTCAGAGAGGAAATTTGCATCCTTGCTGCTCTTTGTTGAATGACTTGTGGATGGTTTCACAGTCTCTGGGCTCTTTGGCATGATAACCACTTTCTCTTCTTCCCAGTCCCAATCATCTTCATTGAGATTCATCACTTCCTGCTCATTGTCACATGAATCAATAGCTGGAGCTTGTGATCTTCCTCCCTCTTTCCCATGCTTTTCTCCACTTTCATCATCTGCCAAAGAAAGCTCAGACTTTTGAGGAATTTCAAGTTCACTAGTCATTTTTAGATTTTGTGGAAGATTAGAATGAGGCAAAACATAATCCTCATTGGTTGTGGAAGACAGAGGCTTGGAAACCATTCCAGTCCCTTCACCCTCTTCCACAGTCTTGCAGTTCACATTATCCTCAAGAGATGCAGCTTCCCTTTCCTTTTTGCTGGGTTCTTTGACTATTGCAGTGACACAAACTTCATCCTTGCTTTTCATTCTAAAGCAAGCAACACCTTCCAATGGAGTTCTTTCTGAGGCACAATTTCCTTTTAATGGGTGATCTGAATCCATAGAACTACCTGCTCCAAATTTTTTTACTTCTTCATCAAAGGAGTCAGGATTCACTACCTGTACATCAAGGACATCACCTGTTTTTACACATTTCTCCAAGATATTTGGTCTTCCAGAAAAAGGCAATCCTTCTCCATTAAATTCACTGCTTTCAGTAACTCTTGAACTATGCAGATCTGGTTTTCCTGAAGCTTCTTTTGAGATTTCAGGTACATACAAGATACCACGACCTACACCTTGGTCCTGCATATTCACAAGTGGTAGCAAGCTCTCACTTTTGGCCTCACGTTTATGAGATCCAGTAATTCCAAGATATTCATCAGCAGAAACATCAGTACACACATCAGTGTTAGCTTTTGTACTTGATCCAACTTTCTTGTTGGCATTACCACCCCCACTGACACCAGTAAATTTTTCTCCTGTATTCCTGCTTGATGCAGAATCTGCATTTTCCTCCCCACCACTTCTCTCAGCCCCTGGAATCTCTGCTTTCATCAGCCCTTTGGCAGAGTCATCCAACTTTGGGAAGTTGATGGTTGCTTGGTTGGCTGGTGGACGCACATAGAGTTGATATGGGTGGTCATCCAGGAGTCGACCTTCCTTCAGGGAATGTGTGATCCAGTCAGGATGCACTATTTTCTCCCCCTTCAGCTCTCGTACCTTTGAGTCAGGTAGATTTGTTGCAACTATGTGTGTTGTGTGGTGACGACTGTAATAATGGTGATATGTCCCGCCATGAGTCATCATGATGCGCTTCAGTTCATCTGCTGATGGAACTAGAGCACAAAATCAGACAAAAATCAGACAAAACTCATTACTCAGTTTGGATAGGCCTAACTTGAGCAGGCTAAAGTTAATCTTGAGTTGAGCCTCAAGTTACACTTGATAAATTTTAGCCCTCTTACCAAAAGTGCTTCAATGTTCAACTCAGTTAGCATGAGAGTAAGTCATAAAATTGGGTAGCAAAGCTACTCAGTATCTCTAATGATGTGTTCATAATTCCCACTCTTCCAATTAGAATATGACTGATGAACAACATGAAATAAGCAACTACCATGTCTATTCCTTCATAATTGCGGTCTGAAAGCTGAAAGATGAGCACCTGCTTAAAATTTTAAATATAATTGGGCTTATGCTACAACTCCATCACCCTCACTTCTACTGATCAACATTCCTATTAACTGAGAAAAGGAAAGAAGAAAGACAAGTCATTTAAATCACCTGTATAACCATTCACAAATATTGAGATACCAGAGAAGATGGCAGCAGAGGTGGAATTGGAAGCAGCATTCTTTCCTTGACGCTCCTGGAACTGACCTTGGAGTTTGGCCTTCTTTGCAGCCATGTACCCACCCTGGAATGAAACCAAGCAGCATCACTTGGATGATGTGATTCTTGAGCTGTTGTGAAACCATAACGCATCCATACCCATTCCTCAAAGCCATTTCCGTCCCATCCCCTTTTCTGCCGATGTTGATGGTGTGGATGCCTTGGATTCCCTCTGGGATATGACTGCGGCTGCCATGGAGGCCTACTTGGTCCCATTCCAGGTCTCCCATGGGGGGCACCAAAGGGATGAGGCTGAAAATGATAACTGCCAGGAGGTCGCGAATCCCAAGGCCCCCATCCCCGTGACATCTGCTTTAGCCTAGATCAGCCAAGCTCACCTGGAAACAGAGACCGATATGCATGATCTACAGTCAGGCCTAACGTCAAGTACGCTAATGCTATCTGGCACCGAATCTGTGGAATAAAACAGAGTAATCGTGATGATTAACAGAAAAGTGTGTATACAGGCAATAGCAAATCACGATGTACGTTAGCTCTGTAAAAATGACGGGGTGAAGAAAGGCTCAGGAAGGGGTCTGGCTAAAGCATGGGCCCTAGTGCACGTGCAGGCATGGTGTAGTCCAGACCAGACCTGGCAAGTGAAATCCCTCGTGGGACATCTGGTGAATGCTGCGCTACTAATATACTGGAGCCCGCGGAAACTGCCTCGTGGTGCGCGCCGATTTGTATCGGCATGAAATCTCCATGGAAAGGGAAAAAAAAGAAAAATACTTGCTCTCGTGTGAATATATAAGATGGTTATAAAAAAAAACGCTTTACCGTTCTCTATGGGAGAAACAGTTTCATAAATGCAGCAAAAAAATTGCATTGGATATGCGATCAATATTTGACGGTTAGGGCAAATCTGGAAATTCCGCAACACATCACATTTCCGCTATATCATTATCCTGTAAGAACCTCAATCAGTACCCTATCTAGTTTAATGGATAGTGCCACATGTACGTGGTACTGTGACATCACTGCGATCACAGCTCTTTCATCTCAACTAGGTAATTAATAACGTGTGGACTATGGAAGCAAGGTGCTCCTCCTCGCTAAATACCGTGCTCTATAGCAGGAGTCCGATTATTCGACACGAGTCGAACATTATCTTTAAATATATTTTAGGGCATATGGCAATGTAGATTACACCTCCATTCAGTCCTTTGATAGTTTTAGGACTAAGAGGTGATTGACATACATAACTCAATAAGTATCAGCAGTGCAGACGTTGAGGAATTGCTCGATTTTTAAATGACCCATTGGTGAATTCCGTAGCTTCTTGCAGAGACATTTCCTGTATTCTCCTTAGGCAAGGTTTTTAATTTTGCTCTCTAAGCGCTCAGTCTTCTGTCGTGTTTATGCATGCCACATCCATTGGAGTTTACGAATCCGTTTACGTTGGAAGTCCTTCCTCTTTTAAACACGCCTTGAGGCCTTCACTTTCCATCGCCGAATAAAAATATATAAAAAAACGAGAAAAAAAAACAAGAGAAAAAACAAAAGACGCCCTTTACTTGTCATTGGGAATCTTGGAGACGTTCTTTTTCGCCTCGTTCGGTTGAAATTTTTTTTTTTTACTTTATAACTGAACTCCTGGTAAATCTGAACATGGGAATAACAATTATCCATCATCGCCAAAATTAAGGGCATGCAAACTAATAACTTCGCCCTTGAAGGGCGAGGGGGCATGGAATAAGTAAGGGTTGCGGAATTTCCAGAATAGTGTTGCGGCTTTAGCAGAAGGGTTGCGGAATTAGCCAAATGCTCATCGGGAAGGATGATTAAGACAAAATTGATCCCTGTAAATTCTAATGAGAGAAATCCTTCCGTGCTTCGAGTCATCCGATTCGTCTTTTCCTCGTTTCATTGAAAGTATAATACAACATAGTCATGTGCACACAGACGCCGTCAGCTCCAGTGAAACAAGGGAACAAATAGTTGAGATTCAAAGTCGTTGCGGAATTCACAGATTTGCCCTACAAGGTGTTAAAATGCTTGTCAGCTTTTTTTCAGCTCCCCTGCCTAAGTCGTGCAATGCCCATTTAGAGGTGAATTAAAGGTGCTTAGAGGTGGATCATTCCACCTCAAGTGAGGTGATTGCCACCCAGCAAACAAAGGAACATTCAATCGGCGTTGTATAAACGTTAATTTTGAACCGCCCCAGTGTTTGGTTGATGTTGCAGCTAATATTAAGTCACTATTGCAATGTCGCTTATCAGAACACTCAGATGAACGTCGAAGTTCAACACTGGCTGAACGTTGAGCCAACATTGCAATGTCACTTATTTGAACCCTCACTCCCACCCTTGTAGCACTCCAATATTTGGTCAATAACGAAGACAATGGACTGTATATTGCTCTATTAGCACTAATCTTAGTACTTTACATGGAACGGCTATCCTTTTCCTGCTCTGTGGACATACTAAAGCCCTCCTTCCCCTCGCTGGGGGTAGAATAGACATTCCACCTCCCAATTCCAGAGAACAGAGCCAATGTACACAGTCAACTTCGTAGAAGTCCTTTTTTTTTTAAAGATTAGGAGCTAATGGGGGGACTGGCCCCTCTCCCTGATGGTGGGTACATCAGGGGTCCCGCCAGTCCCGGTGAAACCCTCCTGCGAGCGGGCTGGCAGGTGCAAGACCCCCTC